TATAAGACGACAAAATTATCCATTGGATCTAATAAACATTGGAATAGAAAAGGCATCCGAAATTCCAATAGAGGACCTAAGAAATCCACGCCATATAGACGACACCGATGATGACGGGAAAATAGCCTTTGTAGTTACCCATAACCCAAGGAACAGAAACATCCTTATGGACGCTAAAAGATTTTATCCCATTTTAGAACAATCGGAAAACATGAAAAGTTTAGTTCAGCCAAATGATATCATAAACAGTCGACGACAAGCACCAAGTCTTAAAAAACTGTTGACCAAGGCCCGTTTTACTACACAGGAGGAAATTCCAACCATTAAAAAATGCGGAGATCCGAGATGCGGAACATGTACATATTTAGAAGAGGTGAATAAAATCCAACTTCAATCAGGAATGGAAATTCGAACCAACTCATCTATGAACTGTAAATCGGAAAACGTCATCTACTGGGCCATCTGTCCGACGTGTAAAGAATATTATATTGGACAAACGGGAAAATTAAATGCCAGGGTTCATGTGCACAAGCAACAAATTAAAGACCCTAGTGTGCGTAATACACCGTGTTGTGAACATTTCGCAAAATGTGGCAAAGGAATATTTAAGATTTTCCCTTTTTATAAACTTCCAAATGAAAACGAAAGTTTTAACAATTGACCTAATGGTCGAACGGTGGTTACTGACTCTCCTGCAGAGATCTCCTGTTTCACCAATATACTGGTTGGAGCAAACTTTGCAACTGATGATGTCAATATGACAAGACAAATTTCCTAGTATTTTGTGCCTGTGGCCTGTAACTGGGCTGTTAAAACTGTCTGTGTCAGTGCTTTGTTACAGTTAATTTGCGTCACCAACTCTCGAACAACCCACATAACTATATATTGCTTACGCCTTAGTTAATTAATTATTAATTATTTTTTACCGATAATTAGTCCTAAACATTTCAAATTAAAATTTATGATAGATCATAATTCATATGTTAAATTGCCCCTTCTATATTATTATTTTTATGCCCCTCTTCGAAGAAGGGAGGGCATATTGCTTTGCTGCTGTCCGTCGGTCTGTCGGTCTGTCGGTCCACTTAGTTTCCGTTCATTTTCTTCACAACCGTTGCACATACTGAAATGAAATTTGGTATACAGATTTATCAGAAGAATATCTAGGCCAAGTTCTGTTTTGGATACAATCGTGTCATTTTTTACAGAGTTATGCCTTTTGGACTTAGAAAAATTCCAATTATAATCTATCCATTTGTCCTTAAGGAGATATGAGTGGACATGTATCCAGTTAAAGATAATTAATGAGCTTAGTGTGGGAAGTTGGGCATCTCTGATCATGTGTTATCTATATCTCCTGAGAATTCGACAGCAGAAGGAAAGATCTCTCTTCTCTAATTCTTTTAATTGTAATTTATTGCCTGTCAAAACATTTATTTTCCAGTCTTGTTTAAAAAAAAAAGAATGTGATAGTTAATAGTAAATTTTTTTTGTTTTTTATGTTATAGTGTATTTATATGTTTTTTTAACAGTCAATTTACAGTGTCATGTCGCACAAAGATGACAAACAGTTCAAATTCATATTTTCAATGTAATAAAAACAATGTAATGAATTTAAAGTCAAGAAGAAAGAAAATGAAGAATGTTTCACTAGCTACAACAAATTCAATCTTGCATTCAAAAGAAATAGTTTTTACATGTCAATGCATGCACCCTATATTATTGTTCAAGATACATATAGGAACAATAAATAATTATAAAATTTTTGAGAGAAAAACCATGATTCCCAAAAGGTTTGATGAAGGCTCCTTGATTTAGTGGGGGAGAATTTCACACCTGTTACATGTATTTATACACAAAGCTTTCAAACTTGGCAAAAGTATACATCTAAAGTAGAAGGTGTGTCGCGGCCTATTTCGAGGTCACTGTGACCTTTAATTTAAGTGAATTTTAAAAAAATTGAAGTCTTTTAAATTTCAAATTTCATTATCCTAAACAATGTAAAAATATAGTTGTATCCTTATTAAAAAATGTTAAATTAAGTAAAAACATATTTTTTCATCATATACTTTACAGCAATCTGTTACAAATGTCAATGTTTTGAGAGGAATTCAGTTTGTCCCATGGGCATAATAAACAAGCACTGGTCAAGAAGAATTTTGATAGCAGAAATGTGCATGTCAAATTAGAGAGAAATTAATGAGTTTATCGTCAGGAGCTAACTGGTAATCTCTAGATCTGATCATGCAGCTGCTTAATTTATCTCTTGGGAGTTGGGCAAAAAGAAATGGCGTCATACATGTAGTTGCTTGTGTTAATTACGAGTTCTTGATGGCTGTAGTCCAGATAAAGATCATTCAATTGGTGTAATGTAATTAAAACATATTGATGTTTTAGTGTATGATTAAAACTAAATTAGTATTGTATAATATATACATGTGTTCATTGAAAAAAAAATAACATTTCAATTTTTATATGCTAGTATTTGGAACAAATTGCAGTCATGTCTCACTAGAATTTCATAGTCTAAAGAATAATTTTTAAAAAATTTTTATTAGACTAGCATTTCCATTATTTCATAAAATATGCAATAAAAAATTTAAAGCTGCATGCATATGGATATTTGTTAAGATCTAACACAGCCAGTAAAAAGGCAGTTTAGAATTATGTGATGTATTATTTGTTATATTTAATCCCTACACTGTGAGTCTCTTAGAGATGTACGTACAATATCTTAAACATGATAAGAATTGGAAATTAAATCATTGAAAGAGTTATATATGATAAGTGTCTCAAATGGCCCCCTAAAATAAATATCTTACTTTTAATTTATATATAGCTTTACTTTACACAGCTATACATGCGACCTTTATTGTTAATTTTCATTGTGACCAAAATGCCGTTAATATAGAAATATGAAATCATAAAGTTCATGTTTCCCCGCAATTTCAGCATATTTTGTATAAAACTGCCTATTTTCAAGCAGTTTTTCTTCCAGAAAATATTGAGCGCAAACTAGAACATACTTTTATTTTCTACCAAAGATGTATCTATTCAATACTAATTACTGACAGAAAAATTATGCATGTTCTACAATGCGCTCTATGTTTCCCATAAGAAAAAACATCAAGAAAAAGAAGTATTTTTGGCTTTTTTGGCAAGATATATAAAAAGGTGTTATTTCCGTCATCATTTAAAGCCAGTGAGTGCATATTAATGTGAAAAATATACCGGAAATATATCTGATATAATCTCTTCTACAAAATAAATATCAATTAAACATATCTGAATAATATTCTAAAATGTTTATTTTCAGGGGGCCAAAATTGGCTCTTAACATAAATAGTCCTTTGTGTCTATCTGTTAATCAAGGCTAAATGATTTTCTTGCACCCTAACCAATTAATGATTATTATTGAACAATATTTGACGGGCGTATCATGCTGTGGCGGGGCACTAACTTTATTGACAGAGTTATGCCCCTTGGACTTTAAAAAAAATTCCACTTATTTGCAGTTTCACTTCATTTTCTCTGCAGAGGTTGCACATATTGAAATAAATTTTAGTATACAGATTTTTCAGCTGAATTTCTAGGTCAGGTTTTGTGTTGGGTAGGATTGCACCATTGTAGACAGATTTATGCCCTTTTGGACTTGGAAAAAAATCCAATTTTGGGGGGAGGGGGGCATAAGTGTTTTACAAACATCTCTTGTTCTTTGATTATTCTTTATCAAGTATAGTTACGCTATTTAGAGAGAATGAAATAATGTACGATTTACTGATTGTCGTAATTAATTAGCATAATTATTTTTTTTCAATTATGTAAATCGCACTTCACCCGAGTATACCCGATAGACAGGGCGCATTTCATAGCGGTCCGGATTTTTTCTTAAATAGTGTTCTTGAAAATTTCCAAATCAACATGTAACTAAGTATGTAAATATATAGTGTTTAGTAGTTTAGTAGTAGTGCTAGTTGTTTTTTGTTTCTCTTTTTCCTTTGTTCTAATGACTTTTTAACTGTTTTCTTTGTTCTGAGGAAGGGACAGTGCGTCCCGAAAATTTGACAATTTTTATTGTTCGTGTCGTTGGTCATTTTAGTGCTTTATATAAATTTCCATCCGTGACCTTGTATCTACTTGGTAGATCCGACATTTAGGATATACAGTGTTGTTGGTTTTTTAGTGCTTTATATATATATACGTATTTCTTTCTTTTTTTTTTCTTTTTTAGAAATTCCTCTACTTATTACTATTATGCTCATTTTGGAAAAGGTTCAGGGAATGTTTGGTTAAACTACGTTTCCTGTAGAGCAACAGACGTATCGATATTTGATTGTGGACACAATGGCTATGGCATTGGATGTGGTCACTACGGTGATGTTGGAGTGAAATGCAATTAGCTTCTTTAAGACGTAACAGTATAATTGACAGAAAGCTGGTACCATGAATTGGACATGAACTGATAAAGCTATGGCTTGAGACAGTAATGAAATCAATAAACAATTTTGATTTTAAAAAAATAATAATAACTAGAGCAAAGCTCGTTGCAAAGCAACGAGTGGGTCTTCCTTCTTAGCGATAAGCAGAAAGTGAAATGTTTCAATTGTCAGCTTTGCTACCATTCTTTTATTTCTTTGACTCAAATAGCAAAAACCTTTCCGGGTTAGAATAGGTCCTCAGTACCCTCTTGCTTGTCGTAAAAGGCGACTAAATGGGGCGGTTCTTCGGATGAGACCGTATAAACCGAGGCCCCGTGTCACAGCAGGTGTTGCACAATAAAGATCCCTCCCTGCTCAAAGGCCATAAGTGCCAGGAATAGGCCTAAATTTGCAGCCCTTCACCGGCAATGGTGACGTCTCCATATAAGTGAAATATTCTGGAGAGGGACTTTAAACAGTAAACAATCAATCAATCAATTATACTGTAAAAATACAGATATTTACACACATTTATAACCTTAACTAGTAGAACTGGTATGTCTTCTCTTGGAAACGGAAGACCTCAATACAGATGTTAACATGCAAGATCTGACACATACTTAAAAAGAATATTTATTCCAAACTAAAGATAGACTCTGTAACAAAATCTATTTCTCTTGAAAAACTGAAAGCAATTGATTTGTTCATATTTGTGGATTTATGTCTGTTTCTCAAATCAAAATTTAAATATGAATATTTAAAGTCAATATCATAAACTAAGACTGTTTCACATGAATGTTTCAATTTCATTATGCTGTTTATTCCTTGTCATCCCCCAACAGATGCTCTTCTGGCAAATCATGATCGTGCTTGGAATCAAATTTCAGTACTCTGATGACAGTCACACCTATCAAAAAGAAATTGAAATTTTTTATTGAATTTTTTTTAAAAAGTGCAACTTATACACTGTTATAAGATAAGATAAACCATCAAACCGAGTTCAAAGATACTTCACATTTTCCGGTAGTCTATAATTATTTAAAAATATAGGTTTACAGGCAGTCATTTGAGGATGTTATAAAATAACATATTAGTTTTTCATGATTTCAAATAAAGAAAATGTACATTACTTGTTCATATCAAAATTTATTAGGAATGGTAATGGTTAACAGTTGTTAACCGACTAATTAGCCAAAAAGATGGTATCCAGTTATAATTTTTTTATGTGTCAGGATAAGACCATTCGTAAAGGTGTTACAGCAATTAAGAACAATGCGCTAATGAAGTGACAAAACGCTATTGCATAAGGAACAAAGAGCTAGCGCAAAGTAACAATGTGGCTCTAGCTCATTTATAACACCATGCTAGTAAGTTTATGACAACATTCTGGCCAGTTTAAGACACTTACAAGGTAGCATGAAGTAAAAATGTGCTACAACACTTATGACGATGGTCTAGTGTGTTTATGACAACACAATGACAATGTACTTGTGCATTGTAACAATGTTGCAGCAGGCTTTTACACCACACAGTCAAGATTACATGTAATAGATTGTGTAAAGCTGTGTTGGCATGGCAGCATATTTTGTGTCAGCACAACTGCATGTTATTTTAAGTTGCCTTAGCCTGACAGTGTTGTGAACACTGTGTTAACACATTGTTCCTAAACATGCTGAAGCACTTTTACAATTAGCCTTATCTGGACACCATAATTTTCATAACCAACTAGCCATGTTTTTTTGTAAAAGTACATGTAAATCATTTTTTTCATTTAGATTTCCATATGTTTTAAAAAGACAAGGAATAAAATTCAATTTTCTATAAGCTTCTATTCATTATAAGTGTTTGCCAAAGCATTTTTTCCTATATAACCAAAATACATCTTTGTCTTTATGGTAGCCTAGTGGTAGGGCATTCCCTTTATATAATCCTGAAGTTTAGCTTGATTTCTAGCCGGGCTCATTGCTACGAAGTTCAACAGGAAATGCTGCTTCATCACTGATGCTTAATCAAATTTACACGTTAAAATATAGTACATTTGCGCAATCAAATTTGAGGCAATACAAACACTGATTACAGAATTAAATTTTCAAAGTTATCTGAAATTGTCAAAAAATAATTATAATAATGTACTTTCTACAGTCTTCTTCGATTAATTATTTGTTTAAAATATGCAAAAGGTTTTCATCAGGTATCGATGTGTGCGCCATATTCTATAAATAAAGGTTGTATTGTCAGTCTAAAACAAATGCGGTAAACATCATTAATTACTTGATGTATGCTTTGATGCAAATTCTCAGCTGAGGACACATCAGTGCATAATCGTTTGACCTTAATTAATCTTGCTGCATTAGTGTTTATTTACTTCTGTTGGTATATAAATCCCCGAAACCGCCTCAAACGATACATGTGAATATTTTATGCTGTTAAATTCTATAATAATTTTATTTAATTTTAAAACTTTTTAATACTATATATATGCCATAGAGATATTTTTGTGGATAACATATCCTCTCAATGTCTGAATTTGTTTTTAAACTCTCATCACGGCCTTTGTTCATTACCCTGTAAATGAGCCCAGCTTTCAGTACTTCTGAGTACTTTGATTATTCACTGCATCAAACCTAAGACAAAAACATGATGCAGTAATGTTACTTAACCATGCACCCAGCATTTGAAGTGAATGAGACCTTAAAAACCTCATAGTACATGTTAGGACAATGTCACTGAGTTCCAAATAAAGGTCTAAATAAAAACTATTCACCGGTATATATTAACACCTCTAAATGAGTGAAGGAGTGAAAATTCTCAAATAACATTACCAATCAAAGTACCAATAAGAAGCTGATTCTTACATCACAGGTTCCAATCCCATTGCTAAATGCTTCAGACGGGTTACTCCAATGAGACCGCATACACCGAGATTCAGTGTCAAAAGGATCCCTTACTTCTCAAAGGCAATAAGTGCTGAGTACAAGTCTATATTTGCAGCTTACTATCCCAAGTGGTGGCATCATCAAATGACTGGAAAATGTTTGATAGGCCAATAATCAAACAAACCATTCCTGCAGTCATCTAAAAATAAGCAAACTTTCTATTATTACAATTGTTTTTACAAATTTCTTTTGAGATTTAACTGAGCAACAATTGTGCAATTTTTTGTCAATAAATTTTGATACTAAAGACTTTGTTTGAACAGCTATTTATAGCAATTACAGACAGCAGCACGAAGCGCTGCTCATAGTGCAAGCTCTCATGACAACGCCTTGGCAAAGAGAAAATTATCACTTGCTTATTGATCCACACAATTTCTTTTCCGCAGTAACTTTGGACCCACAGTGCTTTGATTCTTTAAGCTACATTCTTGCAAGAATTGATCAAAAGTTTCCAAAAAATAAATTCACCTTGATTTAATGGATAAATTGCAGATAAATTAATAGTGGGGAAAAAAATTCTTCATTAAAGTCAGCACTATTCAAGATTTAGACTGGTAATTAGGCCTAACTTACACCACGACATCGTTTGACTTCAAAGTCTAGTGCCCTGTTCACATGGAGAGTTTAATTCGCAGTAAATTATCGCGAAGTAAACTAATGCGAATCAAACTAATGGGAATCAAACTGTGTTAACATGACAGCTAATGCGAATTAAACAAATGCGAATAAAAATTTTACTTCTACAGTCAAGTGTCAGTAAGGCTATCCACTCAAAAATAGCACAATTAAGTACTTAAAGCTGACCACCAACATGTAGCATTTGAATTAATTTTGCCATTACACATGCCTCAAAATTTAATTCGAATAAGCTTCCCTTTGTGTTCACATGGAGCTAATGCAAAGTAATTTAATTCGCAGTAAATTAATTCTAATTAATAAAACTAATTTGAATTAAACTCCCCGTGTGAACAGAGCAATGATGCACCAAATATCAAGTGCGGTTTGACAAGCCCGATCTAAATTAAAACTGAATAAGTATCTGCCCTCACCCTAACAGTCACACCGTCAACATATTGTTACGGTGTATATTCAACAAATAATAAGTGTAGTGTGAATTACCCCTCCATGGTTACTGCGGTATTGCTCTTTTGCAGGGCAAAATAATAACGTTTGGCAAAGTTTTTGTTGAGAGATAATTAAATGACGTATATTTAACAATTACTTATATGTCATATTTCACCAAACTATATCATTTTGCCCTGCAAAAGAGCAGTACCGCGGTTACCGTGAAACGGTCTATAAGAGTATCACTATTCATGATGGATAGTGGAGTGTTGAATTTTTTGTTTTGAAAGTGAGTCTTGTTGAAATTAAATGCTCACATATATTTAAATAAAAAATAAAAAGCTGTTGGGATTTTAAAAGGCTAACAGAAAGCGTCTGAGCCTTAAAACAGATAATGTATCGGTGTGTCTGCGTATTTCTAAAAATATCAATGCTCTAAGCTGCCATAGTAATTTAAATTTTTGGTAAAATAAATTTCTAACCTTCATTCCGATAGTCCACGCCAATCAAACTTTAAAATGTCACCGTCGACTCTTTCATCACTCGATACATTTATCACTGGGAACCACGAACCAGAGTCAAGAGTGGTCAGCTTGTTAATGTAACAGTCGGAATTTCCTCGTAAACAATTCACACAAAAATTTATAAATCGGATAATTCTGCTGAAAATAATGCTCCAGAGGATTGATAAAGTACTTCGTAGCTGCAGATTAAATGTGCGTGCATGTCTACATACGGCCTGTGGCTTGTGTGGTAAGAAATGCTCAACTTCACATGATTTCCAACTTTCAGTTTGTAAACATGTGTCCGACTTTTGGGACACACTAATAACCGGATATACGAAAGACCTGATATTTACCTGATGTTTTTATTTTAGATTAAATGACAATATTGAGTACTTCAAATGACTTATTTAAATACTTTATGACTATGATGCATAATGCTATACAAAATTCGTTTGTTTGGAATATTTAGTGACGATTTTGAATCAGGTCAAATAAGGTTTTTAGTACATAATTTAGTACCTTCCCATTTCCCACAATGCCGCGCGTTGTTTACAAACAAGAGGCCCCGAAAAGACTTCCTCTTAACTAATGCAGAAATATTTTGATTTTACTTATTGCTGTGTACATCATCACATTATATTAATTATTTGAATAAAAAGAAAACAGAGAAACACCGAATCAAAACTATATCTTTCAGATGCATCAACTGAAACTGTGCACATGCAGTAAAGGCTTGGCTGGCTATAGTAGACAACTTGTTCCTGTAAGGTTTCTCACATATTTGTTTTATAAAAAAGTATTAAATATAGCTTGAAGTTTATTTCTCTTTATATCAAACGACAAGATTTAATCAGGTCGAAATTATTTCAGTCAAACTTTTTCATAATATACCAATATTTTTAGCTATCAGTAAAAAACGTGTATGAGCTATTAACCCCTAATTATAGGGGCCAGCCCCTTTTCCTTGATCTTATATGAAAGCTCTTGTAATTATGCACAACTTTTGTTATATATTTCTTACCAAATTATTCTCGGTTCAAAAGTTATTATACAAAAAGAAGCAAAATTTCATGGAAAAAAAATTACTAAAAATTGCCGTCACATAGCTTCCGATCTTTAAGAAATCAGCTTATAATTTTATCGTTATGCACATCTACAATGTATTGGCTACAAGTTCTCCAACTTTCATGTAATTATCATATGTCGTTCTTGAGATTATTAGTGGACACGAGACATCAAAATTATCAATTAAAGGGCAATAACTCATAAAGTAAGGCATGTATCAAAAAATTGAAAGCAGATGTAAATAGGTGTAAATACAAGGTATCTTACCTGAAAGTTTCATAAAAATCAGTCGAAAGGTCTTTGAGAAATCGCCTGTCAAAAATCCGGCGGGAAAAAAAAAAGCAAATAATAATAAGAAACAGTAGAATAACAGTAGGGTCTTCCGAAGGAAGCTCGGAAGACCCTAATAAACTACGTTGTTATGTAAACATGTTATATTGAATACTCTGACAAAATACTAATAATACGCAATTATCTTTCAATGTGCAGAAAAATCTGCATTTTGTGTGTGTGAGAGTAAGGGTGTGTGTAAGAGAGGGTGCCTTTGTGTGTGTATTTCCTCTTGCAAAGTAGAAACTTTGTCTAAAACAATACAATACGTTTTTTAGAATAAAAAATGAATTCAACTTGAAACAAGATGTGTTTGTGAAACACTGATGCCCCCGTATGACAACATAACAAAGATTAAACTTTTTTTAAATGATAATTTAATTAATTGGTACAAAAAGTCGGGTATTCTCACTGGAAAACAATTGTGAAATTTGAAAGTAAGCTAATGTTGAAGTTTTCTTAAAAAGTACAAAAATCTCCAAGGTCAAGGTCAAAAGGTCAATGTAATTGGTATCAAATTAAAGGTCTTGCCACATAAAATACTTACGTAGAGCATGAAAGCCCTAGCCCTTACCCTTCTGAAGTTATGGCCAAGGTTAATTTTTTTTAAAGTATGTCAAAGTCCAAGGTCAGAGTTCTTGATATCAAATGAAAGGTTTTGTCACAAGAATTCCATATGTAAAGTTTGAAAGCACTAGCCCTAACCCTTTAAAAGTTATGGTCAAGGTTTGCTTCGTTTACGGGGGCATAAAAAGTTGAGCTTAATATACCGACATTCAGTTTTAAACATGTTCATTTCAAAAACCTAATAATTTTTGACAATGTTATGTGCTTTGGAAATTATATTTCTCAGTGACTTTTGGGCATCCCTAAAGATGAGTTTGCTGAGGTTTCTGTTCATGGGTACAAAGACCTAAGACATGTGTAAATTATATCAGGGAATCTCTTGAGGGATTGAATTTATTAAGAATAAGTATTACGTACTTTTCCTATTTTTCTTTTTGAAATACAAGATAAGCTTAAACCAAGAAATACATTTGAGTTCCGCAGAGAAGGAAACAAAATACAGTTTCATTTTAGCGAGGAGAGATTGCGAGGTTTAGAATTGTTATCACAAAGATTCATCTCTGGCGATTTCAGCTGTGTCACAGATTTAATTTCTTCCGAGAGAGCTAGAGGCCATTCGTCAACGAAACAAGATATTACGAATAGCTGATAAACATGGGCGGGACACGGTTTAGGAGTATGTGGATTCTGATATTGCTGACAATAGCGAGGATGCCGCCAGACTGCGCTCCGCTATTTCAAGAGCCGCCAACAAGAAGCGGAAATCTCCTTACTACAGACCCGTTTTCCATAAAACTTCAGGAGTGTTCGATGGTTTGTCACTTAGGCAGCTTTTTCTCGGCAGTGCAAAATTCAACTACCGCCAGCAGTTCAACCCTAGATTCATCTCGCCCAGTTCGGCAAATTACAGAAATCCCCTACAAACACAAGTCGCAAACATTGTCTGCCACTACTGTTGACTCCCGGGCCATTTTGCAAGATTCTACCCGTACACTCAGCAAATCCAGTTCTCCACCCCCAGAGAACCCAAACAAGAGCACTCGTTCCAACATCAACATAGCAGACCAGCAATGAAGTTGAGTATGATAGTCATATATTAGACCATAAATCTTACTTTGATGCAAATTCAAACATTTCAGTTAAAGATCGTTTAAAAAACTCTGTTGAATTTTGGAAGAATGTCATAAAGCCAGACGATTATATTTTAAATGTTATCAAATTTGGCTATAGGATAGAATTTATTACATATCCTGAAGTTGTATGTTTGTCTAACAACAAATCAGCACTGCAGAACGCCCCTTTTGTTTAAAAGGCCATTTTAGAATTGCTGAGAAAAGAGTTAGTCATTGGATGCTTTGAACCGCCCCATTGTGTTAACTCACTGACCGTTTCAGCGCCATTGAATAAAAAGCTAAGGTGAATTCTTGATCTTAGACACGTCAATGTATGCGTTTTAAAGAGAAAATTCAAATTCGGGGGGTCTTCAGAGGGTCTCAATTTTGCCGAGAAAGGATTATCCATGATCAAGAACTATATGCGGTATATTGGATATACATGTATTTGCCCCCCACAAAAGTCAAATTTTGAAAACTTCTTGAAATGTGCTGAATTCAATAAATTGTATGAGAAATATAAATTAACAGAACATATTATTGTTTCAAAGTAGTTTATTCACAATTTTGTTTTTATGACGTCACAAACTAGTCCGATTTTATATCCTTTTTCAGGAAGAGGACAAAATGGACAAAATTTCAACAATTTTAGCTTTAAAATTTATAGAGCGCAAGTTTGTTCAGGAGCAATATTGACATATTTCATTGATATTATCATTCTACACATTATATCAAAATATTGAGCCTGAACACACATGCGCTCGGTGACTTTAACTCAAAATATGGACGAAATATGTATATTTTTCTGTAGAATTCATAAAAAACTGATATTTACGTCATGTTTGTGACGTCATTTCGTACATATGACGTCACTACTTATGAAAATATTCAGTACGTTGAAGTCAACATATGCCCCCCTATTTAAGAACATAATTAGATATTTCTCCATCAAAGTTTGGTTTAGGGGGGCAAATATCGGTTATTACCGAATAAAGTTCTTTGATTTAACAAGTGGATATCATCATGTCAACATCCACCCAGATTTTTACAAATATATGGGTTTTTCCTGGAATTTCAATGACTCAAAGCGTTATTTCGTATTCACAGTTCTACCTTTCGGTCTCAGCAGTGCTGGTTATATTTTTACTAAAGTATTAAGACCATTAGTATTGTCTTGGAGAACAAAAGCATACGGAATTATAATGTATTTAGACGATAGCTGGGCTTGCAATTCCAAACAAAATTGTATTCTAATGTCACAGAATATTCAAAAAGATTTGTTGCATGCTGGAATTCTTGTTAACGAAGCTAAGAGTGTTTGGAACCTAGTACAAAAGTTAGAGTGGCTCGGTTTTGAGTTGAATTCAGAAGTCGGTTTTATTGGTATCCCTCGAAATAAATTAGAGAGTTTGTGAAGCAAGATATACAAAATAAAAGAAAAACAAAATATATCTGCTAGAGATCTCACTTCAGTAGTAGGCAGTATTATTTCTTTTAAGTTTGCACTTGGGCCTGTTTGTCAAATAACAACGAGACAATTGTCAATGCTTATTGCTAATGCATCATGTTGGGATGAAATTATTAATACGCTGTATTTCACTTCCTGGCTGGTGTGAGCTAGAGGTTTGGTTAAAAAATAGCCTATCTATTCCCGCCAGGGTTATTTCCCCGTGGTATCGCACACCGGAACGCATTGTTTTTACTGATGCTAGCGATTTTGCAGGCGGTGGTGTTATGTTAGATTCGACTAAGAAAGTTTTTCATGTTATGTGGGATGAATCAGAGAGAGTTCGAAGTTCAACTTTTAGAGAACTTAAGACAGTTGATGTGTTTGTGAAAATTTTTGGTGGTGTTTTAGAAAATAAATTTGTAAAACTATATTCAGACAATGAAAACGTCGTTAGAATTTCGCAGATCGGCAGAATGAATTCGGATTTACAATCTCTTGCTTTTTCTAAATACACAAATTGTTTGACAAAAAATAGAGATTTTTCTGTAGCTTGGGTTCCACGAGATCAAAATGTAGAAGCAGACTTTGTTAGCAAAGTTTTTGATTTTGATGATTGGGGTATAAGCAATCATATTATTGCATTTTTCAATAAGGTTTGGGGACCTTACACTTGTGATATTTTTGCGAGTTGCAATAATTACAAAGTGAAAAAAATTTATTCTTTGTTTTGCACCCCTGGAACAAGCGGCGTTGACGCATTTGCGTTCGACTGGTCACAAGATTTGAATTGGATTGTTCCTCCCGTTTTTTTGATAGGCAGGTCAATAAAACATTTATTAAATTGTAGGGCTAAGGGTACCTTAATTGTTCCGAAATGAAAGCAGCAGCTTTTTGGCCTTCTTTGATCGACAAAAACGGAAAGTTCTTGTGGTTTATGAAAGATATGAAAGAATATGAAAAACCGACGATTTTTTTCATTTCGGGATCTTATACAAGTAGCGTATTTGCAGCTCACAAATTTATCAGTAATGTTATAGCACTGAGATTGGATGCTTCGTAATTAAATCACTGCATCATTATATGTATTTGTTCATTAGCATGCTTTGATTGTGAAATATGGACAGATTAGTACACAAAGGTTGACTGTTAACTAGTGTACAATATGCATGCATATTGAAATGAAATGATTGGATGACTGCTATCCAATAAGGAGGACTGCTCTCCTAGATATGATGTATTAACATTGAATGATTGCAATTCTAACATAGATTTATAATTTAATATACTGGTACTGAAATTCATATAATTTGATGACTGTTTTCATGGAGGATTGCTCTCCTATTTTGATATTGATGATAAAATTCCTTGTAAATAAGTGTGATATAATATCGTGGCTATTATTGGTTACTGTGCAAATTTGGTTTGAATTTCAATGTGCTTTATTGTTATACATTTCAGACTTTGAAAAATTATCAAGGCCAACGTCGGTTCTGGAAGCGCATTTCTACAGTATAAGTTGGACTCATGAATTTTCTTCAAATTTGAATCCATGCGAGGACAAGTTTCTGAAACTAGTGCTTGAAGGTGGAAGGCGCATGTTATCAAAACCTATCAGCAAAAAAGAACCTATCACTACATATATATTACGTAAATTGATGGATTTTTTTTCCAAGGATCCTTCTAATGTGCTGAAACTAAGATCCTTTGTGATGTGTTAATGGGGATTTTTTGGTTTCTTTAGATTCAATGAATTATCAAATATTCGATTATGGAATGGGATCACGTGACCTGCGACGGTGATGGTCATGCTATAGATCGGAGGGTAATTAGTCGAATTTTGGGTAGGTAAAACCGTTTTTTGTGCCCTAAAATCGTTGCACTGGTATTTATAGTCATATTTGCTACCGAATTTGTGCATTTGTTGACCTTTTTGGTGAAAAAGTGACTTTTTCTCATAATGAGTGACTCAAAGTATAAAGGTGAGAACTCCTCACAGGTACGAAATCCTGGTTTAACACCTTTACCCGCAGCGGTCAGTGGAGCATTAAGCCATATGTCCGTTATCGACACCAGCCTTCGGGCTATAACGGAAAAGATGGACTCTTTTAATACTCTGCAAGAGTCGTTGAATAATATGCAGAAGGACCTGTGGAATGAGGATGGACTAGATGACAGAATTAGATACATCGCTCAACAGCATGAAGACAACCAGTCTGAAATTGAAACCTTAAAACAGGAAAATATTACCCTCCGTAAGGAACTTCAGCTGTTGAAGTCGATTGTTGTAAATTTAGACAGGAAAGTGACACAACAAGAAAGTGAGATTGTAGACCTGAGAGGAAGATCTATGAGAGATAACATTCTAATCCATAATCTGGCAGAAGAGGAAAACGAAGATCTTAATGCAAAAGTTCACCAGATCATAAGAGATCATTTAAAACTGGATATCGGTTTTGTCAGAATCCATCGTAACGGACCTAGAATGCCAGGCAATAAACCCACAACCATTACGGTAAAACTACGCGACTCTAACGATAAGGACCGGATTCTTGCAGCCCAAAGAGCTCTGCGGGAAAAGGAGAAAAAAGAGAACAAGGAGAAAAGCGCCTTACCTTGCTACATTACACCTCAAACATCAGTGCAAATTAACGAAAGTAGAAGGAGGCTTAAGGAGATCAATACACAGTACAGAATGAACAAAATAGAGACCAAGATAATTGGGAATAAAGTTGTGTTTCCTAATGGAAATGTGTATCGGGAAAAGGTTACCACGCCTAGAGCTGAAGATCTACTCTTTGTGGACGAGGCAGAAGAGGAAAAGTTAAACGAGATAGAGGCGGTGACAAGTGATCCTATCTATGAGGGTGGCAATGTCTTCAAAGCGGTGGCTACAAAAGCGAGTACGTATGCAGAGGTCAGACAGTTTTACAAAAAAGTTATGAGTGACCCGAACTCCGCCAACGCGCACCATTACGTCCTAGCATATCGGATTCAAGATGCACAAGGGAACATCCGCGATGGATACTGCGATGATGGAGAATACGGCGCAGGTAGGAGAGTGGTCCGGCTTTTAGGAGATCAGAGTGCCACCAACGTCGCATTCGTTATTTCAAGGAAATCGGGAAATCATATCGGACCAAGGCGCTTCGATATCATATGTGATGCCGTGCTCAATGCTGCCAATAAACTCTGAACAGCTAAAGAAATGAATTATTTAACACCCATTTTTCCTGTTATCTTTGGATAATGTTTCTATAAAGTTAATAAGTACTATACATGTACACATTTTCTTTCTGTAGGTGTATGTGAAATCGCTTAGGTACATTTATATGCATCTTATGTACCAGTTTAACTCTTGTATCGGAAAACAATATACATGTATATTTAAGTTTTGATACTGCCTGTAACCATGCAATATATGTAGGTTCCTTTTTTCTTGACTTTTTTTGAAATTCAATTGTAATATACATATATTTCTATTTATTTAGTAGATAGGCCTATAGAAAATATAATATTCATCTTTTTGTTAAAAAAAGAAAGAGGAAAAAAATGTTTTTAAATTTAGTTCCCCTATTCCTATTGTCTCCTAAAAGCTACAACGTCTTTTTTCTGTTTAAAAATCGTTAATATTTTTTTTGTTTGTCTTTTTACGGTTAAAAGGTTTATGCTTGTCGTATGTTTTTTTCCGGGAGTGTATAGTTTATCCGGACACACTTTATTTTTATGTTGTAGTAATAATGTCCGGTTACGAGTAGCCTGGTTCCCGAGGCCTTCCGATTGTGCAAGCACAGAAGGCCTGGCATCGACCTTTTCAATGGCGGCGCGCATGTTCCAATCCAACATGGCGGACAACGTGGTAAGTTACTATAGATGACAGTGTTTTTGCAAGAATTCAGCTAGTTCCTACTGGTTCATCAACGATTTTAATTGATATTTCCCTAGA